TTTTTTTTTTTAAGTTGGAGTCTCACTCTGTCACCCAGGCTGGAGGGCAGTGGCATGCTCTAGGCCACGGCAGCCTTGACCTGCCGGGCTCAGGCGATCCTTCTGCCTCAGCCTTCCAAGTAGCTAGAACTACAGGCACGTGCCACCATGCCTGGTTAATTTTTTTTTAAATTTATTATAGAGATAAGGTCTCACCAAGTTGCCCAGGCTGATCTTGAACCAGCAGGCTAAGGCAATCCTCTCACCTTGGGCTCTCAAAGTGCTGGGATTATAGGTGTGAGCCACCGGGCTGGCCCAATCCTTTTCTCTTTTAGACCTAGAGAAGTATGGACTTCTTCAGACCTTATGATAGAATTAAATACTGAGTATATGATGACCAGTAGAAAGTATAATAGGCCAGGATTAGTATAACAGGGTAGAGTTAAATAAGCCTCCTGAATATAAGAGTGGTAGACTATAGAAGACAGAACATTTTAAAAATCCCTACTTCAAGGCTGAGGCAGAAGCATCACCTGAGCCCAGCAGGTCGAGACTGCGGTGGCTGAGACACTCCAGCCTGGGCGACACAGTGAGACTCCAACTCAAAAAAAAACCAAAATAATAAATAAATAAATAAAATAAAAATCCCTACTTGTGCTAGACAAGTAAAATAACTTACAAAAGAATTATTCCTCCCTTCTAGGACTTTATGATGTACATTTTGAACAGGAAATTTAAAGAAATAATAGAACAGAAAATAAGCTTTTTTCCTGATTTAAGATAGAAACCGTATAATATTTGGAATGGCATTGTTAGGGATCAATAAGTATTAAATGAGCAATTAATTAGTAATCAGAGATTGGTCATTGATCTTCCCTGAGAAGTTTAAATCAGGAATAGCAAATGAATTAAAATAGTGTTGATTTTAGAAAAATAAGTAAAATTAGTTTACTCCTACTCACTTCCCTCTTCAGTTTTTATTCTATCTTCTGTCAGGTGGCTATCTTGTGTTTAATTCTTGTTCTTACCTGAGTGTCAATGGATCTTTAATAAAAAGCTTACTGTTAATAGTATATGGCCGAAGTCTTGCTAGAATATTTAAGATACAACTCAAAGAAAAAAAATCTTCAAGGCTCCTAGTATGTATATAGCTATAATGATAGAATAATAGGCAGTGGGGTTAATACCTTAGGATAAAGCTTATCTTCTTAAAACTAGTAATGTAGTACGGATTATCAAAAGAAGTACAGAATGTACATTCATATGCATAAAAAGCAGAGGAATACCATATTTTGGAGCTAATCTTCCATCCCTCCCGTTTTTCTTTCAAAGATTAATTTGTTCTCCTGCTACAAGTTCAAGCCTCAGAAAATTATTCCCTTAAGTTATCTCCATTCTTAGCTTCTGGTCTCTTCAAGGCAATTTCTTCAAGGAATGAAACTGTGGCTGAATAACACTCACAAATTACATTTAGTCCCTTGGCTTTTAAGTGAATGAATGAAAAAATGAACAAAATTTTGAAATACTATCCCTGTAAGGCTGCTGAAATTTTTAGACATTTATTTGTCCAAAGGGAAAGAAATGAACTAATGATTTCTTTTTAATATCTTTCAGTTCTAGGTTAGTAAAAGGATATATAGCCATGGGTGCTCTTATTAACTTGTAGGGAGCTAAGAAATCATACAAGTTTAAAACATCAAAGAGTAATCATAAGTAAGGCATCTCAGAGGCAAACAAGAGAAAAAGGAACCAAAGTATTGTCCTATACCGCACAACACAGTAGCCACTAGTTGCATGTGGCTAGTTAAATTAAAATTAAGATTAAATAAAATTAAAAATTCAATTTCTCAAACTAGCTACATGCTAAGTGCTCAGAAGCCACATATGGCTAGATACTGAAGTGGATTATAAATTAAATATTCTGATTATTGCAAAAAGTTTTATTGAACAGCTCTTATATAGACTGTAATCTGTTGTCCAGGATACTGCTTAAGGGGCCTCTTCAAGTTAATTTTTCAGTGCTTTCTTCCTTGCCCTTTTTCCTTACAGCAAGAGAGAAGACGAAATTTTTTTTTTTTTTTTTTTTTTTGAGTTGGAGTCTCACTCTGCTCAGACTGGAGTGCAGTGGCACGCTCCTGGCCACAACAGTCTTGACTTACTGGGCTCTGGCGATCCTTCCGCCTCAGCCTTCCAAGTAGCTGGAACTACAGGCATGCACTACCACACCCGGCTAATTTTTTGATTTTACTGTAGAGATGAGGTCTCGCCAAGTTGCCCAGGCGGGTCTCGAACCCACGGGCTCAGGCAATCCACTCACCTCAGCCTCCCAAAGAGCGGGATTACAGGCTGAGCCACCGAGCCCGGCTGAAATTTTTTTTAAACATATTTTTTATTATAAAGTTGTGGGGTACAGTTAAGGGTTAGGTATACAAATGTGCATCATTCAGGCACCCTTGTTGATAAGGGGTGTCTCCCCATCCCCAGACAGATATTGACTACCGTTAATCCCATCTCCCTTCCCCTCCCTACCCCCCCTCATAGTTTCCCACCACTGTCAGTCCTTTTAGTATTATGATAGATGTTCAAGGTCCACTATATGAGTGAGAACATGTGATACTCAGATCTTTGTTTCTGTGAGAGATCACTCAGTATTATAGACTCTAGTTCCATCCAGGTTGCTGCGAAATTCATGATTTTGTTCTTTTTTATGGCTGCATAGTATTCTATCATGTTATATGTACCACATTTTTTAAATCCAGTCCTCTTTTGATGGACAGCATGGTTGGTTCCAGGTTCTTGCTATTGTGAACAATACTGCGATAAACATTCATGTGCAGGTAGGTATCTTTTTGATAGAGTGATCTGAGTGAGAAGACGAAATTTTAAAGGCATTTTCTGCCCCTGTCCTTCTTCAACCATGAGCATCTAGGACAGGGATAGAAAAAAAGCAAAAAGAATATCTTCTTAAGATGTCAATTAGGTCAGGTGTGATGGCTCACATCTGTAGTCCCAGCACTTTGGGAGGTACAGGTGAGAGGACTGCCTGAGCCCAGGGGTTCAAAACCAACCTAGGCAAGTTGGTGAGACTTTGTCTCCACAGTACATCAAAAAGGTAGGCCGGGATCAGTGACTCAGCCTGCAATTCCAGCACTTTGGGAGGCCAAGACAAATGGATTGCCTGAGCCCGTGGGTTCGACACCAGCCCAGGCAACTTGGCGAGACCTTGCCTCTACAATAAATTAAAAATTAGCCAGGCATGGTAGTGCACACCTGTAGTTCTGGCTGCTTGGAAGGTTGCGGTAGAAGGGTCGCTGGAGTCCAGCAAGTCAATGCTGGGGTGGCCGTGAGTGTGCCACTGTACTCCAGCCCGGGGGACAGATTGAGACTCCAATTCAAAAAATATATATATATATTAGTCAGGCATGGTGGCACGTGTCTGTAGTTCCAGCTACAAGGCTGAGGTGGAAAGATCACCTGAGCCCAGCAGGACAAGGCTGTAGTGGCCGTGAGCATGCCACTGCACTCCAGCCTGGGCAACAGAGTGAGACCCTGACTCAAAAAAAACCAAAAGTCAGTTAGATAAAGATTTCATAAAGTCACAGTATCTTAGAACTGGAAGGGACATTAAAGATCACACAGATGAACACTTCATTTTATCATGAAAAATTGAGGCCAAAAAAGGGAGATGACATGCCCAAAGTCATACAAGAAATAAGTGACAGGGCTGGGTACAAAAAACAGATCTCCTGATTTCACCTTGAAATACCCTTTTCACATTATAGCATCATTTATTTATTCGACAAATATTTATTGAGCTTCATCATATGAGTGACAGTACGCCACTTTTATTTGTTCTAAAAGTGATCTGTGGGCTCTAGGGAAAAGTGTTGGGTGCCTGACTCCAACTCAAAAAAAAAAAAATTTATTCCATCATGCCCTTAACAAAAATTCCCCTTCAAAACACCACAACTGAATGGATTCTGCAGAAATAAAAAGATTGGACTATTTAGTAAGATTTGTATAATAAGATTAAAATACTAAAAAAAAAAAATTTATTTTTTTGAGTCAGAGTCTCACTCTGTCGCCCAGGCTAGAGTGCAGTGACACGCTCACAGTCACCTCAGTGTCAACCTACTGGGCTCAGGCGATCCTTCCACCTCAGTCTTCCAAGTAGCTGGAGCTACCATGCCCAGCTAATTTTTTGGATATATTATAGAGATAAGGTCTCACACCAAGTTGCCCAGGCTGATCTTGAAACCCTGGGCTCAGGCAATCCTTTTGCCTTGGCTTCCCAAAGTGCTGGGATTATAGGCCTGAGCCACCACGCCCGGCCTATAAAAGACATTTAAAGAAAGAGCCGGGCTCGGTGGTTCAGCCTGTAATCCCGCGCCTTTGGGAGGCTGAGG